ATACTGGGTGACAGCAAATTTGGGAGATCAGTTAAAGCAGTATCCCCTAGTGGTGAGTCCTGGGCATATTCTACATTGTTCTTAGCACTGCTGGACATACTAGTATCACATAGTATGTCATAAATGATTGACTTCTAAGTCTGGGGACCAGAATAGAGGGCTGAAAGTACTTGAGAAAATGGGAAGACAATTTGAAACAACAGAGCAAATTGAAAAGATGAGCAAACACCAAGATCAGTCAAGGTAAGTGGAAAACACTGCATTCAGAAAAGAAAAAGCAAAGGCACAGGTACTTAATGGAGGTAAACCATTGATTTGGCATGAAGAGATGCTGAGGCATCAATTTCAGCAAGAACTACCATGGTGACAGTGCTGGAAAAAGAATGGTCAAATCTTATTCAGGTGTACTGCAACAGGAGCACCATACCTAAAACACTAAAACACAGGCACTAATTACTACAGCCTGTGTTTGCAGGTCAGTCTTAACTGGAGAATGATGCTCTGCACAGACTGCAAAGAAATTTCATCTGTCAGGGAGAAGAAAATCATGCTTGATACTTTAGTAGTACAAGGTGAGGACTAGAAATTCACATAAAGTCCCTTGTAGATCTATACTTGCAGTCATCCTGTAATATAGCAGACCAGCTTTCTGTGTTCTTACTGATCCCTTGCCTATACCCCTTCTTCCATTAATTGTATTTTCAGCAAACGCTCCCGTTTATGGAACAGGCAAAAGTCTATCAAGCCTGACATCTTCTGTGATGCTTTTCCCCCAGTTAGATGCAGACCAGATTTTGGAGTTGCATTCTGGGTTCTCACTGGCTGAATCCCATTGCAGCTTCCTGTCAGCTTTTAGGTTTGCAGACACTGATACCACACAAGAACCTTCCCTTGCAGTGAGGCTTTCCAGGCAGACTGGCCTTTGAGAAGTAAATCTGAGTATCCCATTTCTTTTAGTTAAGAAGGTGAAATTATTAAAACCTGTTACCTTTGTAGCATTTTTTTATTACTACTAGATCCTCACCCATCTTAAAAAAAGAAAAACCAAACCAAAATTATCTTTCTTTTTGGTCTAATATTTTTTGTTACTTATGATTCCTGAAATGGTATATTTCCATTGAAGAGGATGCTTACATTGTATTTTTGTCTGTTTGCTTCAAGGGGATGAAGACACCAGAAAAATTATATTAACCTACCTCCCACCTCATGTCTTTTACCCAGCTGATTT